GGCGTGTGTACCATCGGCAAATTGTCGCCACCCGCCGGTCTCAACCAATCTCATGAGGCCGCCTTCAACTCGAGCACTCCGACGGATCTTTCGAAAAAGTCCCTTTTTTCCGGCCTCTTCCACACGCCATCCACAACTTCTCGCAGCCTCGACCTCGTCCAGCACTCGTCTGCCAAGTCCCCCTCAACCCACCCACCACCACCACCACCACCACCACCCTCCCAACCACAACCACAACCACAACCACAAGCTCAGCCTCAGTCGCACCATCAGCACCAGCAGCAACAGCCGCTTCATCTACGCCTTCAGCACCAGCTGGCGCATCTTGCGTCGGGCCCGACGTCGCCAACGCCGACGAGCCCGGCGACGGGAGCGGCGGGCATGCCGACTGCGGCGCCGTTGTCCGGTCGACTGGCGGCGTCGGGCAAATCGGGCAAGCCGGGCCACGGGGCGGCCAAGTCGGGCACGAAGAAGTCTTTCGTCTGGAAGTACTTCCAGCATCCGGAAATCGAGGCCGGCCTCCTCGACCGCACCCGCACGCAATGCCTGCTCTGCGCCAGCCAGCTGGCCTTCAACGCGTCCGGCACGACGACCACGATGCTGAACCACCTGAAGAGTCGTCACGGCGAAGTGGCCGAGCGCGAAGAGCTGTTGCGGCGGCAGTCGCGCGACATCAACGCCTGCCATGCCGCCTCGGTCGCGTCTGCCGCCGGAGCATCTGCCGGTCTCGTACTCTCGGCCGTGTCGAATAGTCGAGGCCCGGGCAAACGACATGCAGACCATCTGCACGGACTCGGTCACAATCACAATCACAATCACAATCACAATCACAATCACAATCACAGTCACAATCACAATCACAATCACAATCAAGCTCACAATCAGGCTCAGGCGCACAGTCAGGCGCATCGGGGAGGGGGGAAATCGGCGCCCCTCCACCCGAGCGCTGGTCACCAGGCCACCTCGGACGGACACCAACCGGCCCAGCAACAACACCATCCCACGCTGCATCTGCCACACCCCGGCCAGCCGACAGCTGTCTCCAGGGTTGCGCATCAAATGTTGCATCCTCTGCATCCACAGGCCTTGCATCATCATGCCCATGCCCTCCACCAGCCCAACCACCATCAAGCGCACCAACAACAGTCGACCAACATGACCGGCTCATCGAGCCGGGCCAGCGGCGAGCTGAAGACACCGCCAAATGGACTGTTGCTAGGCGATGTACATTCTGGCCTGCCTCTGCCCGGCGACGGCCTCGGGTCGGCTGGTGCATTCGCCGGACTCTCGCCCAGCTCGGCGTCGATCAGCCTCAACGGCTTCCTGAAGGAGCATGAGTCCATGCTCTCCTCCGTCTCCAGCTTCCCGGGGGTAAGCAATGCTAAAGTGCTCGTTTATCTTCTTCACACTTCCCTTTCAAACACAACGTTTGTATGAAATGGCCCAGCAACTGTCGTTTCCCACTCTTGGCGCCAACAGCTTGTGCTCCGGGATTCCTGGTCACATTGTGCGGTTGTCGCTTGCTTTTGCCTGAATCTACCAGTTGCGAAGACTGCCCTCCTAAATCTGCCTACCGACGCGAATGTTGTGTGTTGACATTTCCTATGAATTGTGTTGAGCCTGTTTCGTATCGCATAGCCTTGCTTTGTCAAATGTTATTCCTGTCCACACTGAAGTGGACTGCAGTTTCAACCTCGCATGCGTCTTGTCAACATCGCCAGCAGTTCTCGAACCATGCACCAAAGCTCAGACGTGAATTGATTAAAAGTACCCTCGAAACCCAACCTCCATTTAATGGGACAAGTTGAATTCAAGTTTGCTTATTTTCGAAAAGTTACACAAGACCATATTACTTAAATCCACCTGCAGTAGTCATTTTCAAGATTATCAATAAATGTTGACCAATCGTCCTAGCTTGCATCAGAGTGAGTCGAAAGCTTAAACTCCATTTTCTACAAATACATGAAGAATAGAGACGGGAGGCGTGAAATGGGAGAATGGGATTTGTGACGAATACTTGCTCTCCTTCACAGCATGTCATGCAAAATGGTCGCCATAGCAAGCATCAGACACGACTCGAGTATGCGATTCCACCGTCTTCGCCGACGCAAGAAGGAGAGAGAGAGAGAGAGGCACGACATGATTGGTCACGGGGGTGTGATGAATCAAATGAAATGCATGCTTTCGCTCCAGACGATTGACGCCATCTTGTGGACAGACAGTTGTTATCCCTTCACCCCAGATCCAATTAAACTGGAAGAAGAATCCGCTTAGCCCGGGTTCTTTGAGGCGATCTAACGATTGATAGTTGGGTTTTCCCGTAATCAGGTGATACCATTGACATGTCTCTCGCAGCGGGATTTGTCACCTGATCGTGGATATCATGGCACCATCACCACTCCACTGCACCGCCTCGAGTGCCAATGCGTCAAGGGGCAGATGAGCAGTTCAAGGCGAAATAGGCCTCATCTAAACCACATTTATTGAAAGATAGTGGATCACACAAAGCTCTGTGTGCGACATTATTACATTTCTGTCCGAGCAAAGCTTCACTTGTGCTTGGCATAATGTCGACCAGCTTCTTTTTCTCCTCTTCAATTGTCTTTTTGGCAAGTTATCTTCCCAATCGGTGGCTGCAGTTTACTTAACTTTTGCAACCCAGTTATGAAAGTAATGTGGTGAGCAGCAGTACAAGTAGTGTTTAAACGCCTTGGTGATATATTGTGACATGACTTTCCACTTCGAAGGAAAGGTTGGCTGGAAGGAATTCGTGATATGGTCTGACCGGAAATCGGTTTCCTTGCAGCCATTTTTTCCTTTGAACTGGAAAGTCATGTCACAGTATGTAATCCTCATCTTAGGCATTTAGCCAAAAAAATTGTGAAGCCATTC